CTTGATATCATTTTTATTATCATTTAATATTTTATTATAATAATCTTTCTTACTTATCCTCATGATACTGGTCAATTTATTTTTATATCTTTTGTATTTATTCTCAGCTTCTTTTGTTCTGTGTTTTATAAATTCTTTATACAATAATATTATAGGCTATATATATATATATATATATATATATACATACATACATATAAAATATTATTAAAAATATTACATATTATATACATCAAGTTACCGTAAGTTTGCTAACGTTAGTGAAGTGTTGGTCACGTAAGCTATCGCTGCAATTAACCTATTATCTTCCAATAAACATTTACTAAATCTGCATAAAATATAACTACAGACTAGATCCACGAGAGGTCGGCTAATGTGTGTAAAAGTAAAAAAATACAGTAATTTCATTAATTTACCAGCGAGCGTACTTCAGAAGCACTGAAAATGAATGGGGTTCAATGTTGGAACAATGTTGGAATGGATTTTTATCATTATAATGATGGTTGTGTGCAGGCACTTCCAACACACATTTCAGTACAATCAACTTGAAAAAGTGCATGTACCATTATATGACCCCTTTAATCATTGTAATTTAACATTCATGGTGGAGATTAGCCTACTGTTAAAGTCCCCATGAATTCAAAATTGACCATACTTACTTTGTTTGCCTAAATTGATCGTTTTGTGGTAAACAATTCATCCATGCAAGTCAATCCACACAAAAACATGTTTTGGCTTCGTAATCTTTAATCAAAATCTGAAATTTCCCCTCCCCTCTGCATTGGAGGACCTTCCTGATGACGTAGGTTTGACGGTTTGGGTGTCTGCTTAACATCCGTAATCACGCCCCTCTAATAGGCTTTATGCCGAGCGTCACGTGACCAAACCGGAAAACGGGTCTCATTGCATCCGCTTGTCAGAGAAAGTGTTAACGGCTGTAAGAACTAACTACGATATCTATGGATTTTTAAGGTAATCAGCTAACCTACTAAGTTCACTTTGTTATTGGTGTTTTATGCTATTTAAATATCTAAACGTTAGTGTGAAGAAGAAAAATTAAAATACTTTTAAATATCAATCTGCACATGTGAGGGACATTGGTTATGCTCATTTTTGCTTGCTCCTTTTAAAGCAGCACTAGGTTACTTTTCAACCTTCACAATATCTCTTGTGATGGTACATCGACTTACAATAGGTTGAATGACACGTCTGCCATAGCCTGACGGGGGCTGTAGCGTTTTTAATCGTACTTTTAAACTTCGGGTTTCGGGTAGTAACCGGCGAACAAAGGAACTACAAAATTCGACTGCTTTACGGCATATACGTCACTTCCACCACCACCCCCACTTCCTTAAAATCGGACGTGTGAGCCAAATTTTATAGTCATGGCCGAAGCAGCACAGAAAAACAAGAAAGCAAAGGTTTTATCGGAGCAAAGCAAAAAGAGAAAAAGAGCAAGTGATCGCTTTAAAGGCAGAACGAGGATCAACATTGGGCCAGCATTTTCTCGCTGGCGTGAGCTGAAGGAGGAGGAGGGGTGCCCGACCGATGCGGACTTGGCAAAAAAAAAAAAAAAAATCAAATGAAAGCCTGTGTCTAAACGGCGTGCACAAGTTTGCTAGGGGCTACATTCTTGCAAGTAAATATATAAGATGTACTAAATCATATTTTAGGATACCTAACATGTCTGTGATATTTGTTTATTTGTCTTGCCTCAAGCTATAATGCAAATCGATTTGTAAAATTTGCAGATTCATTTATGGTAGCTTGATATTATAATATTGACGATATATGGTTATTATCAACCACTCAAACATTGCATTGAAGTATCATATAGATTCAGTAAAACGGTAACCAATAGACTAGGCTACTATAATGACGCTGGCTTTTAAACGTGATCATCGCGATCATTTGTCGTTAGAAAAAAAATAAAACCCATGAAATTATATTCATATGACATGCTGAAATATATGCCACTGTACCTGGGATGAAGACATTTCACACGCGACGCAAGCAGAACACCTGCATGTGACCTCCTCCTACAGTGTTCAGGGCTATCATGGTTGTCAACAAATGCACGTGCATGTAGGATGACAGAGTTTACGACAGTAGTAGAGGTCTAGAGGACAATACTGTTTCCCAACTGTAGGGGGACCCCACCCCGAGAGCAAAAGTAACCTGGTGTTACTTTAAGTTATCTTGAGTAAAACCGCCAAAAAGTTAATGAAGCACATACAAAAGACCTGAATCGGAAGCGATGTGATCTGTTTTCCGGCTTGGTCACATGACGCTCAGCATAAAGCCTACTGACAGTAGACAGGCTGAATGAAAACACCTACTTTTCTAGATCCGATCAGGTGCTAGTTGGAAAAAAGCCACGCCCACTATTTTTCCCTTATTTAGTATTCCGTTTCTCTCTGAAATACGTCACAACACTGGAGAAAAGTCGTTTGCAACTTCCGGTTCACGGGGACTTTTAATTATTGTGACTACATTTGTTATTGTTATTTGTAGGGGAGAGCCGGTGTTGTGCCGAATTTCGACCCCCGCCAAATTATAACCCCCCTAGCATTGGTAGGTTTAGGATTAGTTGTGGGGGAGGGGGTAGGATTAGGGTCGGGGTTGGGATTAGGCAATCAGGTACCTGACTTCAACGAGGGGGGTAATAATTTGGCAGGGGGTCGAAATTAGGCAAAACACCGGGACGATTGAAACGCGGGACGGATCATAAAACATTGAGATTTCCTTGAAAACCACTCACGTCATGTACGTCAAATTTCGTCAGCACGTACAAGCAATGCCTACCAGACCTGCGAAAACATTTCTTCTTTACGTCATGCCGTTTTAAAGTTAGAGCCGGAAAGCTGTTTTTGAGTGTGGTTTGTGAATTCTTTCATGCGGTACTTTTTCTTGACTGTCAAGTTGTATTATTGTTTCATGTGCCATTGTAATGATAATACGGCAGATGTATTAGTACTGCAACACACCCTTAAGGGTGTAATATCAGAGTTTTTTTAGTTTAAGGACAAAACAGGTTTAATTGGCAATAGGCGCTGTCGGGACGGTTGAAACAGTTTGTCCTGCCAGTTAAACCTGGTCATAGGAAAATACTCAATATGACTCAATCACTCAATATGACTCAAGGAATAAATGTAAGAAAAGTAATTGTAAACGGATTTGTCTGTCTGTCTTCAAAATACGGTAGCCTATTAGAAAGATTACGCAAAATGCGCAAAGGCTTATCCCCTATTGTTTATTGGGCGACTAACAGAAATGTTAATATGAACCTTAAAATAAAAAAAAATTCAAAATATGTTTGTAACAATATGTACATAATTTACTTGTCAGGTATTGTTAATAAAAACAAGCATTAGATGAATAGTTACCTTTTAAACTGTTATGTTTCATCCGTCCCACCCCTGTGTTTCAATCGCCCCGCTCTGGAGGTCAATTTTTACTTTCATTCTATATTTCTACCGAATAACACATGATGCTAAGAGAACGCATATGTGAGTTGTTGATCACACACACAAAAAAAAAATCAATCTGTAACCTTATCTTAGAAAACGACGTTTATCTGAAAAGTGTTTCAACTGTCCTGGCTCTCCACTACTTTTTTTCTTATATCTTTATTTTTAGAAAACCACACGCAAAGTCGAATTTATTCAGTGTACTGAGTTGTGGTGACAATAAATGGGTTATTCCCGAATAGCCTACCCGATCATCTCTGCTATAAGTCTCTCACCGGACGCTCTGTAGTGGGTCTGTTATCAACCGGAAAAATCAGCTTCTACTAGCCAACATTTTTACAAATTTGTTAACATTAATAAAAAATAAATAAATAAAAAAAAACGTTTAAACATATTAGATCTTAAATTGTAAGTTTTGCAAGTTTTGTCTCTTGAAATCACTGTGACGTGAATGACAATTTATTCTATACCATTCTATACATCTGCCAGAATACGCAACTCAAATGTTTAGTTAATGCTTTCGTGGAGATTCTCACTTATTTCTCCTCTCAGGAAAAAAACGTAATTCCGTCACTCCAGTTATAGCGGCACTCCAGTCGATCTGCTACTCTTGGCTACTGCAGGAGAAATGCGCCTTAATATGAAAGAATAGACATAAAATGAATGCTGTGGTGAATTACAATTTGGATATGAGCTTTTAAAGTGACCAAATCGAGGAATAGCCTAATCTTTTATTATCAGCCGGTCGGAATGTTGACTATAAGTTGATGTCCCTCCATAAACCAAAACTGAGAATTGTTTAGGCCTACATTAGCTACATCAATATGCGTGCTGTGACATTAAGATCAGTTTTGGGGTGGCAATGGTCATTTTAAGCTGCCACCCTCGTTGCCATGCCCTTGCTTTCCCCCAAATTTCCCCAAACTTATGCCATTGTATTAAGTTTGCTACAAAAAAAAAAATCTCATTCAGTATTCAGCTTGTGTTATCATGTGCCATCGTATACGTTTTTGTTTCATCCTTAAAACAAAAGTCCTCCATCTCCACAAAGTTGCTTTAAAGTGCTTTCTGCATCTCAGGTGGCGTCACACTGTCAGGATTATGTTTTGTCTCAAGTCTGTTTTCCTTAGTTTCCCCCTTCCTAGTGTGTTTGGTACAGTCCTGTTCTCAGTTTTCCCGCTCCTCGTCATCCCTCAGTTAATACACCTGTTCCCAATGTTCATTATGTCTCTCACCTGTGTCCCCATTATGTTCCTTTGTTATCCCAAGCATTTATACCCTGTGTTCTCCCTTATTCAGGGTTCGTTCTCGTTGTTGTACTGTGTGTGATGTGGTTCCTGAGTGTCTTCATTACATATGCCTGTTTCCTGTGATTCCTCGTTTCCTCGTGCTTCCTGCCACTACACGATCCCTGACAGAAGAATGAACCTAAAAAAATTAGTTTAAATTCATTGAACAGATCGCGGCGACGGTGCTGGGTAGCCTCGATCTGTTTGAGTACACTGAGGCCTTTTTTCATCTCGCCGCCAGCAGCGGCTTGGACGACGAGAGGATCAAGGCTTGTTATCGGTTGGGGGCGAATGCAGTCGATCCGAGGGAACTTCCAGATCTTTCCGGTCTGGACTGGAGAAAGGCGCTCTCCACCTGTCTCGAAAGCTTCATCCCTTGGCACGCCGTATCCCAACCAGATCTTCAAGCCATCAAGCCTGCCATCAGGTCAGTCTATGGGCGTCAAGTGCTGATGTCCAGCCAGGCAGATCCACTGCTAAAGGCCGCACGAGCCACCAAGAAGACCGCCCAGGGTCCAGAGCCTCGTCCCGCCGAGACCGCCCAGGGTCCAGAGCCTCGTCCAGCCGAGACCGCCCAGGGTCCAGAGCCTCGTCCCGCCGAGACCGCCCAGGGTCCAGAGCCTCGTCCAGCCAAGACCGCCCAGGGTCCAGAGCCTCGTCCAGCCGAGACCGCCCAGGGTCCAGAGCCTCGTCCCGCCGAGACCGCCCAGGGTCCAGAGCCTCGTCCCGCCGAGACCGCCCAGGGTCCAGAGCCTCGTCCCGCCGAGACCGCCCAGGGTCCAGAGCCTCGTCCAGCCGAGACCGCCCAGGGTCCAGAGCCTCGTCCAGCCGAGACCGCCCAGGGTCCAGAGCCTCGTCCAGCCGAGACCGCCCAGGGTCCAGAGCCTCGTCCAGCCGAGACCGCCCAGGGTCCAGAGCCTCGTCCAGCCGAGACCGCCCAGGGTCCAGAGCCTCGTCCAGCCGAGACCGCCCAGGGTCCAGAGCCTCGTCCAGCCGAGACCGCCCAGGGTCCAGAGCCTCGTCCAGCCGAGACCGCCCAGGGTCCAGAGCCTCGTCCAGCCGAGACCGCCCAGGGTCCAGAGCCTCGTCCACCCGAGACCGCCCAGGGTCCAGAGCCTCGTCCAGCCGAGACCGCCCAGGGTCCAGAGCCTTCACCGCTGGTCCCGTCTAGCACAGAGCCGCTCATGAAACAGAGACTGTTCACGTCCTGTCTGCCCAGCCTGTTCCAAAGCATGTCCCAGTCCCTGCCCCAGAGCCTTCGGTCCCAAAGCCGGTCATTCCCCCCAAGAAAATTTTGGGAGGGGGCTACTCGTCCCAGCCATGGCCGCCTGAAAAGTTTCCTCCGCCATGGCCGCCGGAAGGGTCCTCACCGCCCTGGCCATCCGAAGGGTCCTCACCGCCCTGGCCACCCGAAGGGAAGGCTCCGCCCTGGCCACCTGCTCAGCCTCCTCTCCATCCTGGCCACCTGAACTGCCAGCTCCGCCCTGGAGGCTTCCTGCTCCGGGTGGGCCACGCCCTCGTCAGCCTGATGCTTTTAGTGGTTTACAGTCACCCTGGATCAACCTTTTGTGTACAAAGATCATAAAGTTGCCAAGTTAAGTGCCAGCATGCAAAACTAGCAGAGCAGCATTCACTGCTTTGTCATGCTGTTAAATTAACCACTAATAAAATATATAGAGCCAGCCTCTCCATCAAGCTTAACAACAAGCAAGCAAGTCTGCGCTGGTGTAAAATAGCAAACAGCACCAAAATTAATAAAATTATAGCAAAATTCAAGATATGAATGGTCTGAAAGTTAATTTTTTTTTTTTTATATATCATATAGTTAACAAGCTATAAGTGCTACTTTCCCGATTACCAACTTGATTTCAAATGTAATAGCTATTCATTTTAATACAACAGGTCAATTAAGAATAAGAATATATAAAATATTTAAACATAATGTCACGTTTTTGCTCTATTTCACCTACGAAAACAGTTCCAAACCAAGCAGAGCAGTGGTGTTTCGTTCATGAATGAATCAGCCGGTTTGAATGAATCACTGAATGAACGATTCTCTTATTAAGACTTGCCGCCACCTAATGGAGGTATCATCATTACATTTCAAACCATTCATATTTCTATATGAACTTATTTAAAACACTTTTAAAAACCTTATTCATACAACTCTAATTGCAGTGTTAATACATCTAAATATTAATAGTTATAATAAATAGTAATCTCAGTCAATAATGCACAACATTGGTTTTTGGTAATTTACTAATTCCAGCATAGTACCAAATCTGTTGAGTATTATACATCTTCATGGGTGTATGGTAAATGCATAAATAAATATGTAAGTAATTTAAAGATGTTCTACAATATAACTTTGCTTTGGTCTTACAGTGTACACTGTAACGGGGAAAAACTAAACACAAAGCCCAGAAGTTTATGATCTAAATAATTGATGAGGCATCTTAAAGTAATGATGGAATTACAAGAGGAGTTGGGGTAAAGTGAGCCATTTACCTTAGCTTTGTGATTGATTCTCATTCTAACCTTCCTTTGCGCAAATCAGAAATTGCATTAATATAGTGACTTTATCTTGTATCTTGGTGACTGTCACCATATGTCCAAGACCACTGTTCTACAGTAGCTATCATTCATTTAAAGTAAGCCTATGTGTTCTTGATTTTAAAGGTTTCAAATTTCTGTAAAAGGGAGTGTGCACAACATGTGTGGAGGACTCTTTCAGGTAAGATGTCTGACTTGGTGAGTATTCAGTATGTCTTGTTAGATTCCTTCTGATCCGTCTGTTGTTTTGTAGCAATGGTGGTCTGTGTCAGTGTGGGTCCACGCGAGACACACACCCCTCAGTGGCCCTGGGCGATAACTTCAGCACAGCCATGGTCAGTCACTGGGACAGCACACAGCACTCCTCCGTACAGCCCACAGACGCCTATGGAGAGCTGGAGTTTGCTGGGGCCGGCAAGAGACACAGCTATGTGAGTAGCCTACATGTGAGTCTGGTAATCCTGTATGAGCTGAAGAAAACAAAATCTTATACCATAGGTAGGCTAATATTGATACGGATCACATGCACAATATTATTGAGAATTACGATGCATTCAAAAACCCTAAAAAACGAAACAAGTATTCAGCTTCTTTTTGTTTTGTTTTTTACGTTTAGGGGTAGAAAATTGATAAACAGCTTAAATATTCGATTTCTATTATGTGGGCGGGAATAAAACGCCCCTTTGCGCTGATTGGTCATCCAGAGATAAAACCATGCCGTCATCAGTTCTTCTTCCTCAGTTCTGCGAAACAGAATGCAATGCTGTGTCTCAATTCGCTTACTTATACTACGCCCTAAAAGTACTCTTTTTGTGAAGAAAAATTGCATACTTTTGAGTGTGTAGCTGAAGAGTAGACAAGCTTTGAGACATACTATAACGTCATACAATTGCGTCTTCAACGGTTGCTCTCTAGCGGTCGCATCCTGTCACAGTAAACTGACCTGTCAATCAATCTTCTTGTTACAGTTAAAATCCTCCACATTTCATTTGATGTAATTTCCTATCTTATCAGAGAGAAATGCAAAAGCATGTTGATGCGGATAACTCTCTTCATACTAATGCATTGTGAATTAAGTAGTAAGAACAGTCTCTACCAGTCGATCTACGAACGCCGATCCAAGCCTACTGTTCGCGCTCACCTTATCACAACTTTATAGCTCGTTCACATCACCAGCGCACTTGGATCGGCGTTCGTAGATCAACTGGTAGAGACTGTTTTTCAAAGATGGCTTCTGCCTGTATACGCGAAGTTGACTGTATGTATAAAATATCTTCTTATTAAACTGTCTGGACACTGACAAAGTTCTCAATGCTTCGGTTTGAAGGTAGGGACCCTCATTATGCTACCGTGTTAGTGTGGGGCTATTTTGAGCCTTGTTAGTGGTATTAACAAGCGATTTTTATTTGTCATTACTCTATGCCCCATATACTAGCGTTATACTAGCGTTATAGGCTAAACTGTTTTTAGAGATAAAACTATTTACATTCGATAATCATGAAAACAAATCTCAGATAACGGTTGACTAGGTAACAATGTGTAATTAGACCAAAGGTTCATTTTGCGCCGGAGTTCTCCTTTAATGGCCAAACGGGCCATTAAAAGTCCACATTGTTATTGCAAATGAAATATAACACGGATAACATTAAATAGGCTACTTTTTTAACAGGTTAAACTTTGATTAGTCACTCAAACCTGTATCTAAACCTGTCACCGTCGGTCGCGCATATCCACTATGTTTTGTAGGGGTTTTTTTTAACACTTTTTACTTGTGTTTGTATTTCCTCCTCCAAAGCGCATGGGTTGTCGGTATTAGCCTTTATACTGAGCACCGATCCACACTTCGAAAATCTACCGGAAACTTCTGGCATAGGCCTACTCTTTTCAACATAGCCTACTGTGCTTTGGGACACACTTATTTTAATCTCACATAGGCTACTGTTTGGGATTATTTATTGCTTCTCACCAAACAATCAGACTTAAGAATGGCTTGCAGTGCTGGGTGGTCATTGATTACATGTAATCTAGATTAGGTAATCAGATTCCAAAAATGAAATAGGCTACTTGTAATTAAATTATATTGCAATTTAAAATACTTGAAATTAGATTCAGTTACTTTTGTATTGATTATATGCTTACATGTTATTCTTACAATGGCAGAAAATTATTCATAATCCATGGATTCTACTTCTTTTTTATTTTATAAATTTTCCTTTCTGAATTGGTTCAAAGTCAGAGTTGGAAACATTGTGATTTTTTTTTTTTTTTTTTTTTTTTTTTTACCACAAATTGTGTATGTATGCAAATTGTATAATAAGGTAATCATTTCTAGTCACTGTCGAAACACAATAATAAATAATTTAATAAGTACGCTTATATTGACATATTAAGATTTTGTTTACATATACCATGTAAATATATTTTTTACTATTTTATTAAAAGGTTTTCACAGGTAAATCAATAACAATTGCAATTTTAACAGTATTTGAAGTATTTTGAATCCAATCGCATAAACACATAAAGATTATCATTCTGATTTCAAAGTTAAGGATTTATTAGTTTGAATATACATTGATGCTAATCAGCATGTGGTTAGCTAGCACAGTTCTGAACATTTGTACACACACAAAAACTAAATTTTATTGGACAACACCCAACAAACAATGATGTCACAACCGAACTTCACCACATGTTTTGGTCGTGACAATTTTAGATACTTTTGAGCCTAGCTCAAATATGCTAATTAGTACATGGTTACCTAGCACAGTTTTGAACAGTTGTACACACATAAAAACAAAATTTCATCAAAATAACACCCAAATATTCGAGTAAAAAGGTGTTTGGTAGTGACGTTCCTTAAAGTTACACACAGATTTTCAGACTTTTGAACACATTTACCTCAAAATGATTGGACCTATCTACTCACCATGTAGCTATAATGAGAGAGAGGGACACATGAATATTTTTTACTGACAAAAAATGTAGGGTTATAGTTAAAATCAGTCTCAGCCAATGGCCTAAAACGTACTGTTTCGGGAGTGACATGAAATTGAGGGACACTTTTTTTTTTTACATAAAGTTTCATGATTTACAAAGAAAATATTAAATAAATATTTTCTTCTGAACTTTTTAAAAACAACAATGGAAATAAATAGCAAACATTATTTCAACTTCATTGTCACAGGTTGAAATGTAGGGGTTATGGTTCGGGACAGCCACCTCCCAATTGAAAGTACTCATGATGATGTTATATATTTTAAATATTATTGTGGGATTCAATAGATAATAGAATGATCGTTTGTCGCTAGTTTGTTCGTTGCTATTTGATCCTCAAAGTGGCACTGTTGTTTCAGTTATTGACTTTGAAATGTGACTTCCTGATTTGATGAAGAATGCGAACTCGTTTGACATGCCAGTTTGCTCCATCACACATAAAAAAAGAGAGAGAGAAGATATCAAAACCCTGAAATACCACTTTGAAAAATAAAGCCAGAGATAAAAATAGTATTTTTATATGAATTTCCCCATAAGGGGCCCCTCTAATTGATTTTCACGGGTCCTTTTTAAATATGTATCCCATCTTTAATGTAAAATTCTTAAATTAAGTCAATCAAATTAGAATAAAATACTGTTACCAATTAAATTAGTATCAACCAAAGTCATCTTTGCACTGCAGAAGTGGCACAGAAGCTGCATATGAAGTTGTATTCAGAAATATAAAATAAGTAACTACAGGAAACAATACTTGGATTATGAAAGTAACCAGTAGGTGGCAGCAAGTCATTGTTTTGATGAATGTGTCATTAAGTCATGACCAAAACATGATTCATTCAGGAATAAAAATCAAGTGGCTGTCTGTATTAATGGGCCATGGAATCACAAGCCTATTTGCACTTGGTGCTAATGTACAGAATATTCTGTGTTTTATTTAACTTTTTCATCCTATATGTTTAAACACATTCTCACTCCCAAAGCGTCTTACTCTGGCACTAGTGCACCACAAGGTGCAGGTGCCAATTACTATCTCTTATTTAGCAGCAATTCAATTGCTCTAAATGCAAAATCTGACATGAAAAAACTGACATGAAGGGCATAACAATTTTATCATTATGAAAGTTTATGTTCTGGGCATATTCAAGTCCAACCATACTTCTTTGCCAGTCCAAAAGCCCCTCATGGCATCATGATATAACAGGTTTCCCCATTCTTAGAATTTCAGATCCTAGTTTAGATATGCTTTGGCTGAAACTTACAGATATGTAGCCTATTTGTAAAATAGTTGATTAAGGTATGTTGGAAAGAAACCAATTTTTTACAAGAGCGCTCGTGCTCGAACACAAGAGCGAGCACTCATGGTACCGGCCACACTGAGACTTTCAACACACCGGAGAAAGCATCACACAACATGCTGGAAACTCATGTAAACTCCCACTGCAACGTTACAATAATAGGCTACTTTTATCAGCTTGACGTTGAACTAATGCTCCATGCTCGTACCATGATGACGTTACATTTGTGGTGTTATCTAGCATAAGGCATTTCACTAACTATTCGTGTATCTTTCACAATCAGGCAGCAATGACAACAATAACTTATTTTAATTAAACTGTTTGAGATCGAAGTAATGCTAGATGCTTTGAAATAAATTACAGACATGGCATCTGAGGAATATTTCTTATTTTTCTCAGTTATTTCGCTTTATTTCTAGATTTAATCATAGGCTCGTTCTTACATAGTAGAGCACGTTCGCACATGCGCAGTCTTCAAAAAGGGTGCTTTAAATCTCTTGACAAACTCAAAGACATAATTGACATTTGTATGTATTCTAAATAAGGTTGTCAGCTTGCTTATTTTGCTCAAGATAAGGATTTATTAAGTCCACATGTCATGCAATTAAGAAACTATGCTTTTAACCACAGCTCGAGGTCTGTCATTACAAACACACAACTCTGCGATGCTGTTTGCGAATGTTCGTTGGAACGATGGTTTCGGGAAACACCGACTGGTTGAACTATGCTGCTAACGACAGAACTTGCGACCATAGTTGGCTAACGATGCTTTCGGGAAACGCACCCCTGAAGTCCAGGGATCACTAGAGCACGTAGTGCACTGGAACTGCACACTACTGTCGCACACACAATAACACATGACAACAGGCATTTTAACACCTGTTTGTAGTGGCATCCTGCCAATATCACTTGCCTGAAGCCCTGAAGTTCTTACAGTAAATCTTAAGACTTTCCGCTTCTTTCGAAACTGTCACTAAAGTGACTTGTCAGCTATCTCATCTTACAAGATTCTGTGCATATTTTTACGGCCGCATATAACACCTATGCTGTCATTATGAGGTCCCAGCAGTAGAAAATTAAGATTTGTCATGAAGTTATGTTACATTCATGTTGTTGATCATATTCATTTATATTTTATTAATGCCCCAAGTGCAGATGGTTGCCTTGTTGGCAGAGGCTAATAACACTAACTCCACCCACCACTGACAAAATGACAACAGAAATCCTGCTGATAACAGAAGCAGTGGTTAGGAGAGGAGATTAAGGGGCTGTTCACACAGAACGGACCCGCAAATGCAAAAGGTGTATACCGTTTTTTTTTTTATTGCATTACAAGGGTTAAATAAAAATTAAGAAAATATTACAAAAGTGGAAAAGTTCCTAATGGGTATTTAAAAGTGGGAATAATGTGTTGTAAGGGTAGGATAGAGGCTGATAAATGATGACTTGGGTGAGCCTCTTCATGATTAAGTTTGCCGAAGGTTAGTTTCATGGAACATGCAGCATAACTGCATGAATCGAATTGAAATTATGGTGATATGCATCTAATTTGTCTGAATGTATTTGCGTTGTGGAATTTTGTGCTATCCTTAAAATGAGCAGCTGCAATTACTGCTAAAGGATGTGTGTAATAATGACAACGTGGTTCCTTTCTTGAGGAATTAAACCTCCTTTTATACTTTCATATGTCGTAATACATACTATACCACTTTTGTATCTCAGATCTCTCGTACAGCTCATACAAAAGTCATAAGTGATCTTTGGAGGCTACTGTAGATTAATATATGCTGGCTGTATATAATGTATAGGAGCTTTAACCATTGTCATCTTTCTAAAAATTCGATGTTTTCGTGGGAATCACAGCATACAAATTCTTGTAAAATCGCCACCCAGTAAAATTATGACGTTTTCTCATGAGTTTGAGTTGAATATTGACTTCTTTGATGGGCCTTAACAAAAAGGAATGAACCATCAAAAGATGAAAATTAAAGAGGTTAATTGAAAAGTAAACAGACAAGAAGGATGTAAATCAAGTATGACATTTCGAAAGAATGTGAAACACTCTTTACAGTAACCTCTAAAGAAGAATGAGGATACAGTGGCAAAACAGGCTATTGAGCTCTCTCTCTCTCTCTCTCTCTCTCTCTCTCTCTCTCTCTCTCTCTCTCTCTCTCTCTCTCTCTCTCTCTCTCTCTCTCTCTCTCTCTCTCTCTCTCTCTCTCTCTCTCTCTCTCTCTCTCTCTCTTTTGAAGAACAAGAATTGAAAGTGGGGGGAAAAGCACATCATGAAATGTTTTTCTCCAAAGCACGTTGCCCACAATTATTGGCACCCCCCAAAAAAATGATGAGTAAAATATATCTGAAATGTATTGCCATTAATATATATATATTTTAAAAAAGCACACCAGGGTGACTAGGAGCATGAAATTGTCTAGCTATGACTGTATAAATATGAGGAAACACACAGGCCAAGTTCCCTTAATCATCCATCACAACTTGTAAAACCAAAGAATGTAGTTCTGATGTGCAACAAAATATGTTTGATCTTCACAAATGGAAAATGGCTGTAAGAATATAGCTAAAGCATTGAATTCCCATTTCCACCATCAGGGCAATAATTAAGAAGTTACAATCAGTTAAAGATGTTACGAATCTGCCTGGAAGAGGACGTGTGTCTGCATCGTGTGTCTGTAGACTCCACAAAGACTGTGGATCACAGATGGAGAATTGCAGAGATTAGTTGAATCTTGGGGTCAAAGCCTAAAAAAAAAAAAATCGGTAAAACTTTATTTTGATGGTGCCTTTTGAGCATTCTGTTGACTATAAGTAACTTTGCAACTACATGTCAACTAACTGTCATTAGAGTATCAGTAGACTGTCTGCTTAATATCTGCCAACTCTTTATTGTGATGCTCCTCCAACAGACAATCTACTGACTATAAGTAACTTTGCAACTACATGTCAACTTATTCTATCCCTAACCCTAGCAGTCTACTAATACTCTACTAACACTCTAGTGAAAGTTAGTAGAGATGTAGGTGCAACGTTACTTATAGTCAACTGAATGTGTTAAAGGGACCATCCAAATAAAGTGAAACCAAAAATTCTAACAAACCCTATCACCACATTTTGTTTGGGAGGGTTTCAAGAAAAATCCTCCTCGCTCATCCAAAAACAAACTCCAGCATATTCAGCTGTCAGACACGACTGGAACTTCAGAGGGGACCGGGTTCTATGGTCAGATAAAAGCCAGCTTTTTGGCAGCAAACCAGATGGGTTTGGTGCAAACAGGGATAAAAAGTACCCCATGCGGTTAAATATAATGCTGGATCTTTAATGTTGTGGGCCTATTTTTTTTTCAACATTGGGTCATTGGAAAACGTATCTGTGCATTTTAACAATACATACAAATCACTGCAACTGTTTCCAACAGAAATGAACACTATAGGCACACTGTAAAAAATGATTTTGTGGTGAAGTAAATACTACTGAAAAAATGTAATTTACATGAAAAAGTTAGTTCAGGCAATAATTAAAAAAACTAAGTAAATTCCATATCAGTACTTAATTCACGCGAGTAGAAATGAAAGCGTAAATATCAACTTAATAAAATTAAGTAAAAATTACTCAACTTTTCTGATACTGGGGTTCCCATCATGCACTGGACCTTGAATAATTAATGAGGTTGATTTTTCACTGGTTTCCAGCTGTATTTACACTGTTTTATCATTGCTTTTGTTGTTAGGATTATAGTAAGTTGCCATTTTATGACATTTCGAGTACATTTTCTGCTAAAAAAAAAACGATCCATCAAATGTTACCGTCATTGTGTATTTTCTACCAAGTATTGAGGTCTTTGCATTCACATGATGTTTAACATCTGACATGATGTAGTATAAATTACTTAGAAGTTCTAAGGAAAGCACATACTGGTATTTCAATATTATTATTGTTTGAGTGAAATGTAATGCAAAGGAATTTTCTACTAAATTGATATTACTCAACCTTTTACTAGCCAAGTTAAGATTTCTTATTTACTTTGTTACTTTCACTTGACTAGGTTAAGTAAAGTTTACCTAATTCCATATTCCAAGTAAATTTAACTTAAATATTTCTAATTAAAGCTACTGATACATATGTTTAGGTTTTTACTTGGCAAATCGTTGTAAATTTACTAGCATTTTCTGAGTGAAAAAAGTTAGCAAGCTTTTTTCAAGTAAATCCTACTCCAAATTTTTTTCAGTGAAAACAGCAAGCACTTTTAATGGTTTTCATACACAATTATGATTACAGGGGCAGATTATGGATTAATAAAGACTTGTTTTCACGCGGCTCCCTGTACAATCAGGCTAATACCTCAAAACACTTTTTACCATAGTGCATTATTTGTTAACTAATATATTTTGGAGTTTTCAATTATCACTTAACCAGCTCCATATGTTCGACGAGTCACGATAAATGAGCTCAAAGACAAGTTCAAAAACAAGCTAAAATGCCATGGTTAAAATTATGTTGTTATGTCACATTTGCTTTTGTTAACACTCTCGGGTAGGTTTAGGGTTTAGTGTAGACTAGGTGTACGTTATTTTAAAATGGAGCATTAAGCTTTTAGTGCCACTCACCGGACATTTCAATTTAGAACTGCGGAGATATGTACAAACTCCAACGTAATAAAACGTTGCCATGTTCACGTTCATCTGTTCCGCAAAAAACGAAACACGCTTTTAGCACCACATTTCACTTTGAAACTGTGCAAAAATGCGTCAATGAGCACAAAATGAAGCTTCTGCCATGACCACCCCAGTCCCTGACCTGAACCCTATAGAAGATGAGTGGGCTGAACTGAAGAGGAGAAGCGCCAACATGGATCTGGGAATCTGCAGGATCTGGAGAGCTTCTGTATGGAGGAATGGTCTCTGATCTCTTGTCAGTTGTTCTCCAAACTCATCAGGCATTATAGGAGAAGACTCAGAGCTGTAATCTTGGCAAAATGAGGTTGCAAAAAGTACTTAATAAAAAGGTGCCAATAATTATGGCTAACGTGTTTTGGAAAAAAACATGTATTTCATCATTTGATTAACACCCTACTTTCAATTATTTTACTTCTGAAGGGGGTGGATTGGGATCCACTGCTGCTTCAATGTATATATGTAATGAGTGATTAATAATCAATGATAAGCATTTCTACATAAATCATTTCTATATTCATTGAGTGATTCAAATAAACTTTTAATCATGTTTGCTGTGAGTGTTAACCAGCTGCTTTTAGGTACATTCTGATGTGACCCTCAACATGTGTTGTCTATATATCTGTTTCTAGCTGACGAGTTAAGGTTACAGGGGTCCAACTATACGTGACTTCACCTGATTTACAGAATTGTACCTCTTTTCTCTAGAAACTAAAGTGAATAGTATCTGCACTTCTTCCTGAGGAGGGAATGTATTATCTGTATGTGTTGGTAGTTTCCTAGATTTAGGTCTCCGGTGGTGCGTGGACAATAACTTAATCCTCAATACATTTAAGACCAAAGAGATGATCGTGGACTTTAGAAAGAAGGCAGTTCGGTACCTCCCCCTCTCTATCAATGATCAGGTTGTTGAGAGGGTCCCCTCCTTCTGTTTCTTGGGTACCACCATACATCAGTCCCTCTCATGGGACCTGAACATCAGTCTCATTGTGAATAAAGCCCATCAGAGACTTTATTTCCTCCGTCAGTTGAGGAAATTTGGGGTTAGTCAGGAAGGCATGACTCATTTCTACCGAGCCGTCATAGAGAGCGTGCTGACCTTCTCTATCCTGTCCTGGTACGGTAACTCGACCAGTCAGGATAAGCAACAGCTTGAGAAAGTAGTGCTTAGGGCCTCTAAGATCACTGGCTGCAGTCTGCCTACCTAGCATCACACTACAACACCAGAATTATTAGGAAGGCAAGATACATCACCTCCGACCCCTATCATTCAGCACACTATCTGTTCACTCTTTTGCCATCAGGGAAGAGGTACAGAAGCATTATCAGCAGGAAATCACGCTTCAGAGATAGCACCTATCTCCAAGCCATACGTTTTTTAAACATGGCATAACGTTGATTGCTGAATGTCTGAATTAAGTTTCATGTTTCATGAACTAGTTGGACTGTTCTAGTCTGGGTATCTAATGTAATTGGGGGGTATATGTGAGGTATATATGTGGAATGTGTTGTGTTGTTGTGCATTACTGGTGTTGTTGTGTCAGTGTACTATTGTTAATTAATTGTTTGGGAGAGCTTACCAAGACAAATTCCTATCAACTGTATTGTTGAAATGGCTAAATAAATTTTGAACCTTGAACCTTGAACCTAGTTTGTCCTGATGATAGTTAGGTCAGGCGCTCTTCAACTTTGGAGAAACTGCGATTCCCTAGTGCTTTTGTGTGTGTGTTGGATGTTCTGCAGGTCTTGTATAGGAGCTATGGGACACTTCGGCATGCAACAACAGACCCGAAGACGCCTTTCTCCGACCTCCGAGGTCACCGGAGACCTAAATCTAGGAATCGTGTGACAACTACCTTGACTAATGGTGATATACTCTCCTATCTATCCATGTGTGGAAATTTGCTTAGACTATATGTGTTCTTAGGCAATCAGAAACTGCAACTTTAAGCAAGGACGTAGCTTAGACCTTAGTGAAGGGTATAACTGCTATCTTTGTAACTGTAAGCGGGGCGGCCTACGAACTCCCGTGTGAATCTTGACTTCTGCTGATGAAACTGCAAACTATCTTCAGTAAAACTTTTCTTTCATTTAATATAATTCTGACTCCGGGTCTTCATCCAGCATATCTGGTTCTGGGTCTTTAACTGTTTACCCCTTACACTTCAATGAAAGGTTAGATTTTTGCGGATCAAAAGGATAAACATTGCAGATTTATTTTTACAGCCATCTTTGATTTTATTTACCAGGGGTGCCAATAAATCTGTTATCGTTTGAAGTTATTGCTCCAGTACTAATGAACTCTTGTTTTTATAAAACCTTATATGAAAGGCTATTCGACACCCAGAAGTGTTTACATGTTGATATAATCAAAATCAACTTAAACTAGTGCTATTTACAACCATTTTATTTAGGTCATTTTGCCAACTTTTGGAAGTCGACAGCTTTACTCATTTTAAAGGTTGGAAAGGAAACCACAATCATGAGAGGGTTCAAAAACATGACCTGAGAGGAGTGATGCTGAGAGGTAAGAATGTAATAATTCAAGTACTGACAGCTATGTACTGGAAAGTAGCATGAATAACACTTAGCAATGTGATCACATGCTTTTGATCGGAATGTAGGTGAGTGGATTAAAGGTGAGCTGCGAAGAGTATTTAAGGTGAGAATGAAGTCATTCATCAGTTTTCTGAATACTGACTGGTGAACCAAATCGAAGAGGTACAGTAAGACCTTAACTACCTTATTCTAAATGATTTAATTTCTCATATCAAATTCAAATCACTTATAATAAGGTTCAAATCTGTTTGCAGCATTGATTTCCATTGTAATGATTTCTTGTTTGATTTAGATGATTGTCCTCCTGGTAACTTTCCTTGCTGCTCTTCTGTGTCCCTCCATCCACACCGAGTCTTCAGCGGGTTAGTGTAACTCAAGTTCAACTTCATTTACTCAATGAATTTCTAGTATTCTTTTTTATGACTCCTCTTAAAGTAGGCACTAAAGGCTCTTGAAACCTTTTGATCGGAAATTCTGCCGTTTCATTTGTTATATTTATCAATGCTGTCATTTCATCCTAAACAGCATGGTGCTATCACGAGGCAACATGCAGTAAGTGTGATTTATTTATTATATTATCAAATTTGCCACTAACTTAATATCTGCATAAAACTTCATATAAATCTTATTGTAAACATTTCTATATTTAAAACTTGTTTTTTAAACCCCTGATTTGTAATAGATGTTACAACCTGGCCCAAATCTGCTCCACAATCCTGCAATGGATCCATCCAATCTCCCATTGATATCAATACTACAAGTGTTCTGGAAAATGCTAACCTGACCTCATTCAACTTCACTGGTTTTGATGACAACTCCACCTTAATGTCAATGGTTAACACAGGAGACTCTGGTAAGGAGCACTGGGAGTTCTTGTGGCCAGTTGCATAAACACAGCCATTATGTTAAGACAGTGTCTTAAGATCTAGCATGACCCACCAGCAGTTAGTCAAGGGAGGGTTAGTCTTTCTTTTCTGTATTAAACATTTTTTTTATGTAACTGACTTTAAAAGGTTATGAACAAGTCTTAAAGAAAAAAAAGATGAGATTACTAACTTGTTAGACTAGTCTAAGCAGTTTATGCAACTGGCCCCTGGTATGCAGCTGATATTATCTGCTTTTGTTCAATGCACATAGTGCAGAAAAACCTTGATTTTGTTTTTCGCAGGATTTTTTTGTCTTTACAAATTATACTGTAGTTGCTAAAATCATATATTTAGTAGATTTATTCAAAGTGGCTTCCAAATGAGGAACTCCTACTAACAAAAGTTAACAGTCCTTAGAAGAATATAATATGAGAAGTATCACTTTAAAAAGTTCAAAAGTATGTGCAAGCACACAGATCTATTGTGATAAATTGTTAGACAACAGAAGGATACAAGTTTGATTCCTCTTTTTGTTTGTACGATGAGACTTACAAACTACATAGGGAACTTAAATTTGCAAAATAGGTAGTAGTGTGCAGATCAAGTGTCAGTATTAAGATGTGTTTTGGTCGATCAGATCACAAGTAGACGAGGGAGACACATTTCTGTTTACACCTGGTGTTTTAATCTGTCTCTTTTGTCCAATTTCAACCACTTCTGTCCTGATTTCTTCGAGGAGAGGGTCTATGGGCGGGTAAATGTAAGGATTTTTTTCAGATCTTTCAATCTAATGGACAAAATAAGCTCACGCAATTAACATATGAACGTGCCCGAGGACGACTGAAAACCATAAAGAGAGCAGCAGATTTAATTTCTGCTCTGACAGCCGCAAGACCAGCCGAACGCTGTGAGTGTGTGTTAGAAATCAGGAACGATGAGAGAACATTGAACTTGGTACGTTTTTCATCTTCAAACCAACTTGGGTGTTCAGCCGACAAAGTTTAAATCCCGTCTGGCCAGAGCGCTTCCCATAATGTTTACGCATTAGGTCGGTAGGCGGAGAGTAGGTGGACTTTTGTGGCTGCTCGAACGCATTCGACTAAATGAGTGTTTACACTACGAAAGCAATCCGTTCGAATGTGTTTTCAACTACCTCTAGAAGTGATCGAAAGTGGACAAGTTCAAAACCTTTATACCCCGTTTACCGCTGTATTTAGAGTGGTCCACTTGTGATCCGATTGACCAAAACGCATCTTGATACCAGGTGTAAACAGGGCCCAATATGTCCATTGTCTTCACAGTGGTGGTCACCCTGACCAATGCTAAAATGACAGTGCAAGGAGGTGATCTTCCAGGTGTGTACAATTCCACACAATTAACGTTCCACTGGGGTAACGGCAGCTCCTCGAATGGCTCTGAACACACTGTGAATGGCAAACAATACCCAATGGAGGTATGAATTAATGAATTTTCCGTGCAAATGCACCGAATTATCCCAAATGCATTATCTTTAAATGTATAATTCTGTTTCTCAGCTGCAAATTCTGAATATCCATTCAAAATACAACGGGAATTTGACAGCTGCTCTAGCTGCTAATGACAGCACAGGATTGGCTGTTCTCAGTTTCTTTATTGAGGTGAGCAAGACCACATTTATTATATCCAAAGGGAAGCGCAAACCTTAAAGTATATTTACTGTATGGCTTGGTTGTGTGCTAATGACTGTATTATATTTGTATTTAACCAACAGGGAACAGCAAAAAACCAAACAGATATATGGAGTAACCTAACAGACTTGTTGAAAAAAATCCCTTATTCAGGTAAAGAAATAGTGTGTTATTGATTGCTTACAGAAAAACAAACATTTTGTCATAATTTACTCATGACCCTCATGTCATTCCAAATCTATCCATCCCCATTGGAACACAAAATAATATATTTTTGAAGAATGTTTCAACTGTTTTTGTCCATACATTGAAAGTCAGTGAGGTCCAAAACAACAATGACGTATATTGTATGGACAAAAAGACAGTGATGACAGGTTTTTCTTTTTTGAGTGAATCTTTAAACATTGTAAATATCTTTATCTTTAAAGCACCTCATACCATTAAAAACATGTTATATTTAGTTATTCTCTCTTCATCTTCAATATGATTTAACAACAAACTGAAGACGGACAAGTAGTTTCTTTACACCTTGACGTTTTTGTGTATATAGGTAATACAACCTCAGCAATCATGCCACTGGACAGTCTGCTTGAAGGGGTGAACAGGACTAAATATTACCGGTACCGAGGCTCTCTTACCACACCCAACTGCAATGAAGTTGTGATTTGGACTGTGTTCAAGGATCCCATCAAAGTCAGTCAGGACTTGGTAAGTCAAGGCAACTCTATAGTAGAGTAATTCATAAAAAAATCGTAGTCGTCTATTATTGGATGGCAACATTCTACATATTCTGAGTTAAAACCTAAAAGTCACTCAGTTGAATTTATTCCTCCAAACAGATCAACCGCTTCAGCACAACTACCTTTTTCAAAGCAAGCCCTCCAGTTCTGATGACCAACAACTTCAGAGGAGTTCAGCCCTTGAATGGCAGAGTTGTGACATCACAGCGCTCCACAGCACCTTCTTCTGCGGCCACATCCACTATATCTATCATCACAGTTCTTCTCTTGTCACGTTTGTTCTAACACCACTGTTTTCTGCAGAGCTGCTTTTTAGCTGATTACACTTTTTCATAATTGATACCCTGGACCACAAAACCAGTCATAAGTGTCTTTTTTATTTTTAATTGAGACTTATACATCATCTGAAAGCTGAACAAATAAGCTTTGTATGGTTGATGATCATTGATGTATGGTTTGTTAGGATAGGACAATATTTGTCCGAGATACAACTATTTTAAAATCTGGAATCTGAGGGTGCAAAAAAATCTAAACATTGAGAAAATCTCCTTTAAAGTTGTCCATTTATGTTCGCGATTTTGCTGCATCCACTCACAAAAATCATTTGTTTTAGGAAATTTACAAAATATCTTCATGGAACATGATCTTTACTTAAAATCCTAATGATTTTTGGCATATCGATAATTTTGACCCATACAATGTATCTTTGGCTATTGCCACAAACATACCCGTGCGACTTGTGACTGGTTTTGTGGTCCAGGGTCACAATTGATGAATTTTGCAACATTTGACACGGAACTGAATCATTGAAGTGATGAAGTGAATAATGACACTATTATCTTCTGTAGTGCTCCTTACAGAATTTACAACTAATATCATAATTAATGAGCATTATACAGTTATTGAACTAAACTGAATCAACACTGAACTGGCTTCAGCTGAATAATTACACAGAATTGTATTGATTGCATCATTGATCGTATTTTCCTGTTTATCTCTGTAATGCTCCTTTGAAACAATCTGTATTGTATACAGTGCTTTAATAAATATATCTTAACTTGACTGTATGAGCTTATTTTATTAATTTATATCTTTTGTACATTGTGTCATCTTTATTGATCTTGGTTGAAGTTTGCTGTAATCAATTATGTTTCTATCCAAAACAGTTTAAAACAGATGAAATCATATAGACTGCTAATGTTTTATATGAAGTGCATAGTATCTGTAATTATATTCAACATTAGCTGATTCTGTGGTATTTAAGAGGATTTATGTTTTAAGTTTCTAAAGCATGATAGACCTCATTAAAATTAAAACATTAATTACTGTAAGACCAGTCAAAATGCTTGTGTGTTCACGTTCAAAAGTTTGGAACATTTATGATTTTTAAAATGTTTTTGAAAGAAGAATCTTCTGCTCGCCAAGGCTGCCTTTATATAATCAATAATACAGTAAAAATAGTAATATTGTAAAATAATTGTAAAAATGTTTTCTATGTGAACATATGTAATTTTTATTTCTGTGATGCAAAGCTAAAATTTAGCATCATTACTCCAGTCTTCAGTATCACATGATCCTTCAGAAACCTGTCTAATAATCCAATACATTCTAATATATATATATATATATATATATATATATTGCTGCTTAATATATATATAAATCATCAAAAACTCATGGAATTGACATTAATTGCTTTTGGAACTCATGCTATTCATCAAAGCTGCATGTCTCCTGGGGGTGGAGACCTGATTCACATGCTTCACCTGAACCAAACTGACCTTAATGAACTACCTGACACCGTAAAGGGCAACAGCTGTCAGTGTTTGGTATTTGAGGTCACCCTAAGCTTGTTTGCTGCTTTTAAAGCCTTTGAGTGTAATAATGGGTTTTGGAGTAGGGTCTTGCAGGTTCAATATACGTAGAGGACTTGGTTTTGATGTAATTTTCTAAAATGGTAAGATACGTGTGGGATAACTTCCAAATGATTGAATCTTTGATATTTGGCTAAATAATCTAAAACATTTAAATTAGTTAGAGTTTGTAACACTATCCTTTTGCGTTTCCTCTCCTTCAAGATGAATGCTTGGTTTATGACCTGCCTTGCAGCTTGTTTGTTGTCTGTATCATACAGCGCACCAGTGTCTGTGGGTAAGATGTGGTCATGTGACTTGGTTTCCAAACATGTCATTCGATTATGTTTCTACTGTCAAAAAAAATTCTCATTCAATGTGTTAATCTTGCTGTATTTGGGCTCTTCTCAGCTTGGTGTTATCACAAGCCTTCATGTAGTGAGTTTTTTCTTGCATCCTTTTTAATAGGTTATTGTTCTATAACTCCTCCTTTTGGCACAGAATAAGTCAGTGAGTTTTGCTTTAATGTGCTTTCTGCATCTCAGGTGACGTCGCATGGCCCATAATTGCAGAAAAAGACTGTAATGGCACTCAACAGTCTCCAATAAACATCATATCCGCCAATGTCCGAGCTAATGCTAATCTGACCCCTTTCAACTTCACTGGCTACGATGACAAAGCGACCTTGACTGAGATTAAAAACACTGGCAAGACAAGTGAGCGCATGTTCAAATGCATAGATGACAATAAAACGAGCTGCAAGTCAAGATGACATAAAAATAACATATGCATGTGGTAATTTGGCTTTACTCTTCAGTTAAAGTTACACTTGATCGCAAGAGAATGCATGTGGAAGGAGGTGATCTGCCAGGCTTGTTTGCCAGTAAGCATTTTCATCTCCACTGGGGTAACGGCAGCGCCATGCTTGGATCTGAACACACTGTGGATGGCAAACAATACCCTATGGAGGTATGAATATTGTACAGACTAGTACAACTTTTTGTACTTTATCACTCATCATTTGTCCTGCCCATCTGTTTCAGTTGCACATAGTGAATAAGTTTGAACATAATGGGTCAACTATATTGGCTGCTCTTGGTTTCTTCATTGAGGTATGTTTCTTACCAATAAATGGTTTGAGACTGTATGTTTTAGTTGAGGGTTTTTTTTGTTTTTAAACAGGCCACTGATGACACTGGTAAACCAGAGAGCTGGAAGACCTTGACATCTTACCTAGCAAACATCGCCAATGCAGGCAAGTCTCAGGCTTCTCAAGTACATGCTTGTTGCTTTTTTTCCATGACTAAAATTCTTTGAGTTATGTCCTGTTGTCAGATCTGACAACAATATTTTCTAATGCCCTTTCTGCTTCTCAGGTGATAAAGCATGCATCACTGAATATATCTCTATGGATGATCTGCTTCCTGGAGTGGACAGGATGAAATATTACCGTTATCTTGGGTCTTTGACTACACCAAACTGCAAAGAAGGTGTTGTGTGGACCATCTTTAAAGACCCGGTCAAGGTCAGCCAGGATTTGGTAAGTCTGAGACTAAAACATATTTTTTTTTTTTTTTTTTTTTATTGGCGTTCATGGGTCCATGAAAAGCCTTTAACATCCATGGTTAATTTGTAATGTTAAAAAGGTTCTTCAGATTAAAATTCTTCACAAAACCCTTAAGTTTTTCACAGTGATGTCATAGAATAACCATTGTGTTCCCCAAACAACCTTTTATTGATCAGTTCTATTAAGAACATTTAATCTACACTCTTAAAAATAAAAGCTCAAAAGGTTCTTCATGGATCCACAGATGCCAATCAAAAGCATTTATTTTTGAGTGTAAAGAAAAGGGTCATAAGAACTCTTCACAGAAAGGTTCTTTGGGGAGTCAAACAAAGTCACTCCCACTCTTATCAGTTATGTTTTGATATTTCAATATCTTTGGTTTGGTGGCAAATAGGTAAGTCTGTTTTGGGTAGTTTATTTATGGAACTTGGTTTTGATTTTTCTGGTCTCACGCACCCATTCTAGATTGACCTATTTAGCACCAGCGTTTACATCAACAAGGCGACCAACTCTCCCCTAATGGTGGACACGTTCAGGGGTGTACAGCCAGTCAATGGCAGGATCATAACGTCACAGGTGGCCGGTACCACAGCTACTGATCCTCTATCCCACGCGGCATCATACGTGGACGTTCTAGACTTCTCTTATGAGTGTCATACCCCTGAACCTTATCCTGCATTTGATTTCTCAAGTGATGAATTCTGGTAGGATTCAAGTGGGTGTTATGAAGTGTCTTAAATTATTTTCAAGTAATATTTTAACAAATTGTAAAAAAAGAAAAGTAACTAACTTGAGATATTTAAATGGTGTCCTAGTTAATGTATGCATTTGTCTCTGTCCAACACTATATTTAACAAGTTACTTATCAACTAAAGCTCAATAGCTAGTGTTTTATGGGTGTAAATTGGGTGGGTTTTTTTTTTTTTATACTCCTGCAAACATGTCTAATGTACATCATATCATTTTACTCCACAATTGCCATTAAGACATTTTGTTAAGATTGCACTTTAGAATGAAACCATTTAAGCTTTTAGAGTTGTAATGTAGTTTAAATGTATGTAGTTGAGTGTACGGAGCTAATATTGAATTTGATTTTTAAACATGTGGTTCTCAATTTGTCATAAGTTTCTGTTCTTAGTTTGAGTAATTCAAGAACTGGTGAGATTTTAAAATGATCTCAATTTAGCAGATGTAACTGGTGCTTGTTTTGACTGTCACATTCTTGTCTTGTCAGAGTTGTTCTCCTCCTGCAGGAATCACTGGTCTGGAGTTTTACTCTGGTTTATCCTTTATGTACAGTATATGCACAAGGGCTTGGGTATTATCTTTAAATGGTAATTTATTTTTGCATCAACATGTGACTGCCTTGTCAAAACACTGCCTTTCATTCTATTCAACTAATCTATAAACCTTTTTATTCTTTTTTTTTTTTATATGTATGTTCTATTTTGAGAAATAAATAAAAGTGTGTCATGTTCTCAGTCAGGTAGCAAGTTTCATTCTTCTCATAAGGTCCATTTATGAAATTCATCCTTGTAATGCTTTGTGGTGTGGGAAGATTCTCTTCTGAGAGTGAAGCCAAAACGGCCTATAGAATCTGGAAATATTGTCTATTAGATGGTCTCTTTGTGCTGGTAAATAACTGTTAAGTAATAGTTTGGGACTTGTGCATTAACTTTAATTCTGTAAGTACTTGGAGTCAAGACTAGATCTTCAAGACCTACAGGGTCAACACATTCTCATCCCAAAACGTCATATGATTGATGCTTTTGACCATACGTCAACATCCGACGTTTTAGGGTACCCTTTAACGTCAGTTAGATGACGATCCCGGGGCGTCATATATCTGACGCTTTACCTTTAGCGTCAGTTGCGGGTAGGTTTAGGTCTGGGGTAGGGTTAGGATTAGATAGCGTCATATACTGCCGTTAAAGGGTACCCTAAAACGTCGGATGTTGACATATGGTCAAAAGCGTCAGACATATGACGTCTTGGGATGAGAATGGGCTGACAGGGTACCTGAATCCAAACCAGACCCTAAATCCAAATGCCAGGCTTTCCATTGAAAATGGAAGAAAGCTGAATTTGCACTAATTTCAAACAAGTTCTAGGTGTCAGTCTTTCAAAAAGTTTCATGATATAAGTACCATGGTAATACCATCTATTTTTTTTGTGAGGGATATTAAACACTTCTTTTATAAATACTTAACATCAGTTACGATTTGTCAGTGTATATATTTGTGTTTGAACTCATTTTTATCCTAATGAAAAGTTTAGCTGAGTATTAAGTTTCTAAACCTGTTAAATACTGTAATAAAAAAACAGCATGTTAAGGTTTTATCAGATTTTTATTAATCAGAGTTTGACTGAACAAACAAATCAGGCATCATTGTCAGATATTACATATTGGTATGGTAAATTACTCAAATATAAAGTGAATTAATCTGGGTGATGTAGCATCATTAAGAAGCATTATCTAACAACGAAAGTATGTTATAAAATATATTTAACAAGATAACCAAGATTTGTTCTAGGGAATTCAAACAGATTTGTAAATATGATGTGTAAATGATTGACTTTGTTCATTTTTGTGCACAATCCAATTAATGTTTGTTAATATTTAATTTCATAAAACAGACTCCAGCAACCCACCACTCAGCTTTCATTGATACAATCACCTGTGCCATTCATTATAAAATGTACCTGAACTTTTAATACTTATGTAGTTTCAATATCAGTTACTTTTACTTTTAGGGGCTGATTACACGATGGCGTAGTGTTTCCTTACGGAGTAACAACTACTGGCATTTTTAGTCGTTTTCGTGGATCCATGTGAAGGGATCGTTTTTTGTCAACTGTACGCGGGAAAACGCAAAGGAAAATTTGTTACGTTTTAAATACATTGTTGTTGTGTAAATGTGCCCTTAGTGTTTTTCAAATAAGCTACTTTAACTTTACTTGAGTCAATATCCATAAAAGTATATTTACTTATGCTTAAATATGATGATCGGATACTTAATACAACGCATTTAACATTCCTTTCTATAATAAAAATGAATACTCATAAGTTTGTTAGGCTACATCTGACATGGATGAAAGAAACTGGACATAAATTTACCATTCAGGGGGTGGAGTGTAATAGATGACATCATAAAACACCTGAACCAAATGGACCTCAATCACACCTGGTCTCAATTAAATCATTTTGATACCCGTCCATAGTCGTGTCTTTGCACATTTCAGGACTTTAAAAGTGTTTGAGAATAAAGCTTTCATACACGGTGGTTTTCCAACAGGGTTTTGCAGTTTCAGTACAGAAACTATTGGCTTTAATCAGAAGAGAGGTAGCCAAGTGCAATATTTAAGGACTGGTGAAGTTATTTTAACTGACTAAAATGGTAAGACAAAGCATTCATAAAAATGTATTGTACAAATTAACACGTATAACAAGTGTAATCTGTAATGCTTAAGTGTTGATTTGTTCTGGGAAAGAACTTCGCTTTGAATCCATTTAGCTGAAAATTAAATGGAGTGTTTGCGTTACTTCTGTTGTTTTTTAGATGAATGCTTTCATGGCCTGCCTTGCTTGTCTGTGGCTGATGGTGCACACTGCATCATCCTCTGTGTGTAAGTGTTTGTTTGTCATTCCTCTGATTAATGTCACCGTAGATTGTCATGTTTTAAACATTAATGTCCATTTTGCTTTTCTTTTTTTTTTTAGCGTGGTGTTATAACAGGCCATCCTGCAGTAAGTTCCCCCATACTTTAACCTAAATTTAAAGATGTAGGGTAAGCCTAGCTACAACAAAGATATAAGTTTAAAATGATTGTGAAATCTGAGCAAGTTAACAAAATACTTCTGTTAACAGGGTGAGGATGTTTAAATTACATTTTTGCATTTCAGGAGATGTCACTTGGTCCAAAATTGCAAGTAAAGCCTGTAATGGCACTCAACAGTCTCCAATAAACATCATATCCGCCAATGTCCGAGCTAATGCTAATCTGACCCCTTTCAACTTCACTGGCTACGATGACAAAGCGACCTTGACTGAGATTATAAACACTGGCAAGACAAGTGAGTAGATCTCTTTATTGTCTTAAACTGTTTTATTCTAGTTTTCTGCAATACAGGCTTTTTTTTTCAGGGGTGAGTTTCCCAAAGCCAACTATAGCTTTGTCGTTTCCAACACAATTGAGCAAAACTTGAGGCAAACTAAAGTTCTAGAGATGTGTTTTTTTAAAAAGTTAAACTTAACTTTATCGCCATGTTTTTAGAAGGCTGTGTCGTGCAAAAGATAAACTGGCTTGGAACAGAATCTCACTGGTCAATTTGTTGTGGCTTTACTCTTCAGTTAAAGTTCCACTTGATCGCAAGAGAATGCATGTGGAAGGAGGTGATCTGCCAGGCTTGTTTACCAGCAAGCATTTTCATCTCCACTGGGGTAACGGCAGCGCCATGCCTGGATCTGAACACACTGTGGATGACAAACGATACCCTATGGAGGTATGAATATAATGTAATACAATAAAGCTTTGTTTTTATTATTGGTCTTATGAACGGTCTTGTGTCTCAGTTGCATATCGTAAATAAGGCGGTGCATAATGGCAGCGTGTCTGGTGATCCAGAAATGGCAGTTCTTGGTGTCTTTATTGAGGTACGTTGCCTCTTTCTCTCTCATATTTGGAGAAAAACTATTTCAACAGAATGTTTAATTGAAATGTCACCCACAGGCCACTAATGACATTGGGAAACCGACGAGCTGGAAGTACTTAACATCTTATCTTAAGAAAATTGCCAATGCAGGTTTGGCATGATCCTAGAGTATGAGGAAAGAAGTGGTTGTATAAAATATGCTGGTAATGTTCATAAACCTATTAATTTCATCTAAGGTGATGTAGAACGCATTTCCCACAATATCTCCATGAATGATCTGCTTCCTGGAGTGGACAGGACGAAATATTACCGTTATATGGGCTCTATGACTACACCAAACTGCACTGAAGGTGTTGTGTGGACCATCTTTAAAGATCCCATCAAAGTCAGCAAAGATTTGGTAAGTCTATACACAAAATATTTAGACTTGTCTTTTTGATTTGCATTTTCCATCCAGGGGTGACTTTCCTGTACAACGACATAACTCTGTTTAACTACCATTGTATGATGCATCATCGAAGAACTCAACTAGCTAGCCACGACTGTTTCGCAAATTGGTCGTTCAACCCCGTTGGTTAATCTCCTGCACATGGAGTAATAACTTCTAATGAATCTGTTTGGGATCGAATTAAAGCTAGATGTTGTGCTATAAATTAAGGACATGGCATCTGAGGGCTATTTCTCATTTTTCTGTTATGTTGCTTTATTTCCAGATTCAATCATGTGCTCTAATGCGCAAGAACGAGCCTGTACGCACATGCGCACACTTCAAAAATGGTGCTTTAAATCTCTTGACAAATTTAGACGTAAATGATAATTGTATTCTAAATGAAAGATAGACTGTACTGAATCCACAGGTTATGCAAACAAGAAACTCTGCTTCTAACCACAGGGCGAGACCTGTATTTCCAACCACAACTTTGCAATGCTGTTTGCGAATGTTCGTTAGGACTATGGTTTCAGGAAACACAGACTCGTGGAACTATACTGATAACGACAGAACTTGCGACCATTGGCTAACAATGCTTTCGGGAAATGCACCCAAAATTCGGTCTCTCTAAGCCCCTCCTTTTCAGACTTCTCTGCTCTGATTGGTCAGATGGCCCAGTCTGTTGTGATTGGTCTACCGCTTTACAGTGTGTCTCGTAAACAAAAACTATTACCATATCTGAATTTCAGCTCCGGAGGCTTCCTCAGCACTTGATATACAGTGATACGAATATTAACGATGGTGTGGTTTTTCCATATCAATTCTATGTTTAAATCTCGTTTTCTTGATTTAACGCGAGTACCATATTTACCATGCCTAATATCGATCTAGCTTACTGCAGTGTGCAACAAGTGTCTCATATAGCCACTGAGCGAACGCACAGAGTAGCATCATGACAACTTTCAACACACTCAAATGTATCTAACACGATAAACTGTGCTGCGTTACCCCACATACGCATGACCGGAAGCGGCGTCTGTGGGATAATAAAAGCTCCACTGCTCTCGAGCGGTCTCTCGCGCTCGTCTCTCATTAGCAATTGCTCCAGCGGCCTTGTTCCGCTCCAACGACTTTCGTAACATTAATAATCTTTAATATATTTCCGGTCATTCATGAATATGATTTCTGCCTGAGTCCCATCGTAGTCTCCATAGACATAAAGGTATTCTCCACTGACTGTAGAGGTGAAGATGACAACTCCCATTCCGTGAAATCATGGCGTCATCAAGCTTGCTTTATGTATAAACGACCTCTAGTGGTGAACTTACATGGCGTGCCTTAAGACTTGTTATATAGTCTTTGGTATAACTGACTCTGCATCACATTAAGTTTATTTAGCTGTAGTCCAAATGGATCATTTTTTAACGTACAATTCAGTTCAATTCCTGATACATATTTCTTTAGCTTTTAAACTGCTTTTGTATTTTCTAGATTGATCTCTTCACGAAGACCGTCTACATCAACAAGACCACCAATTCTTCTCTAATGACCAACACTTTCCGGAGTATTCAGCCCATCAATGGCAGGATTGTGATGTCACAGGCAGCAGGCGCCAAAAATTCTGGCCTACTCAAACCACCTACATCAACATCAACCACTAAACCAACTACACCATCAACCACTAAACCAACTACACCAACATCAACCACTAAACCAACATCAACTGCAAAAACAATTACATCAACGGCAACAAACCCATCCCAGGCTCTGGTGCGTCCACTTCTGAGTCTCGTACTCCTGTACTGCATCCTACCTTTGTTCTAGAACCGGTCGACGAAATGAAGGTACTTTTGAACTGATGTCTTTAGAATAGATCTGATGGTATTATATTCCTTAACATATGTAAAAAAAAAACCCGCACATTTTATATTATCCATGTAAAATTTGTCTGTTTTAATGCATAGTTCTTATTGTCAAGGTTTAATATTGCTGTGAAAAGATTAGTGTTTTTCAGCTAAATGCTAGTTTCCTCACTCTCAGCTTGTTTCCTGCACCGGTTTCATACGGAAATGTGGATTTCTCCCAAGTTGTGCACTGAAGGTCTTGAACGTTTGGTTGTAGTGGTGTTTTATACAGTGTTTGATTTGGTGCACAGTTTTGAAAAACATTTGAGCATGTGTTTGGACTTTTAAATGCACTTATTTTAATATTTGACTACAGTGTCAGCTTTTGGAGTTAGAAATGGAAAGAAAGCAGTGAATGTAGGCAACAGGCTGAGGGTGAAGGACATTACATTGATTTAAACGTGGCTTTAGGAGGAAAAAACCTGTTAATACTTTTCTCCCCAGAAAAGTAAAACTGGTTCTTTTGACGTTCACTCATGGCTATTTTGTAGGTTTTCACTATAAAGTTTGGATTTGTTTGTAGTACACCGGCCTGATCTCATTAAATGCGTCTCTATAGCATACATTGTATTTATCGTGCAATTTATACAATGCGTGCTTTAGAGATGCTTTTCATGAGATTGGGTTAGTAAACAAGGTTTTTTTGTTTGTTTTCCCCAATCCCTTCTACAAAAGTGTCATTGCCTAAAATATGTGAATGTTTGTAAAAACGCTTCAGTGCCGTATTCAACCAGTCATTTGAGATTTTTACTCCTTGCTTTTTTAAAATGCATATTACTGAGGGAGAAAAAAAAAATAAAGTTACTAATTGTATCAAATTTATCTTACATTTGTGCATTTTGTCTTTGTCAATTCATTTTAACTGCAGATTCCACATCAATCTTGTGTTTTGATTTGTCTTTGAATGTAAATGTTATAATGGTCTAGAACCATTTCAAAAATAATATTAGTGCAAGGGAGATATAGCACTAGACTAGCATACATGTGATCTTGTCTCAGTCTTAAATGTAAAGAAAGTGTTGTGTTATGGTGGTTTTAAGAGAAGGTGAGTGAATCTGTATATTTATAAAACATTGTTAAAGGGGCTGTATGTAGATTTCTGAAACCCTAGTCATTATTGATGACTGGTGGCTAAGTGAATTGCAGCCAGCAACTTACTGCTTGCATTCTCACTCACACATGAGTTACATACAGCAGACTGAAGGGGATTCAATGCCCTGTTATACTAACTCGCGTCGAAGTTCTTTGCTTGAGGGGAAAAGCTGGGACTTCTTTGCAGCTATACTGTTTAAGACACCCACAGTTCACAGATGAGGTAGGCTAATTAAAATGATAAAGTATATTTAAAACTACTATACAGATCTGGATATTTTGAATTAATCACTCTTCTTTGCATGACACTGACAAATTACAGGTTAGCTCTTTTGGCATAATGAATATTGTATAATGCTGTGTTCACACCATGTAATTACCAAAAATAAATTAAAAACAATTATGGTAATTATGACATGAAACGAACGATTAAGGCGTTCATGTCATGTGTCATTGCATGGAAGAAAGGCTCTAAGGTGCGCTCATAAATGTAACATACTTTTGATTTTCCCTGCAAAAAAAGGACTTCACATAAAAATCGGTTTACAGGCTTTTAAAGACAACCTGGGAAGGTCTCATGTTCTAAGTTTTGTTACAAGCTGTTCACACATTGGCAATAAAAGCGATTCTTACGTTTTAGCCCCTTTAAGGACATTTCTAGTTATCTGATTTTTTTTCAAATATTGTACAGATGTTTTAAACTAATGAGCAATAAAACTATGGCCCATCTTCTAAAATGTCTCAAGACTGCGTCCCAAATGACATGAACAATGTACTCTAGTCTAGTATATGAATTTTATAAGTTAATTTGCATGTGTCCTACATCTTAACATAAATTAAATGCACCTTGTGCATTTTCTTTTTGGAATTTTTAGTGTTAATACACTTCTCACACTGTTGATACTACAAAAATGGCGTAGAATAGTGCATTAGTACACAATTTTCAAATCGTGTCAGGATAAATAACATTTGGAATGAGATGTGAGGGTGTTAAACATAAAGGTCACTTGAAATATTACATTTCCCTCCCATGTGGCTCAAATGGGTTGGACTTTGCATGAACTTTCTTTGCCAGCTGATGTTTCATATGGCCACATTATTACTGCAGGTCGAAACTCATTACAAGAGAGGAAAACGTTTCTAAAGGCATGTGGGCAATTTGCTTATTCCACACAATGACATCAGTGATGTTCCCTGGGATTGTCTTTTGTATGCATTTGTATTAATACAGTAGTGCCACCTTTGAGGGTGATCATAGTTACACAATATCAACTGATACTGTATCTGTCCACAAAGAATGCTGAATGTGCAACCAGTGGATTGACAGTCAGTTGGGATTATTAAATGCAAATGCATTTATAGGGTTAGTTCACCCAAAAATGTAAATTCTGTCAATTACTCACCCTCATGTTTAGGCAGTTTTTATGTTATGTAAGGGTTGCTTGCTTTCTCGTGATAGCATGAAGTTCCAATGTATATATTTTTTGAATTATTTAAAAATATATACTTTTCATTGTGTGGCCAATGGGCAACATATGGGCTTGAGGTAGGTCTGCTGAATTAGCCAATACAGGGCTGACATGGACCCCATGGACAACCCCTTTTAAAGAGATTTCACCCAAAAATGAAAATGATGTCATTAATTACTCACTCTCATCTCGTTCCAAACCCGTAAGAGCTTTGTTCATCTTCGGAACACAAATGAAGATATTTTTGATGAAATCTGAGAGCTCAGGGGGAGCTCCATTCACAAATGTTGAATGAAGTGATATTTTTGGGGTTTTTGGTGCACAAAAAGTATTCGTCACTTCATAAAATTAAGGTTGAACCACTGTAGTCACATGAACTATTTTAACGATGTATTTCCTACCTTTCTGGGCCTTCAAAGTGTAAATTAAGTAGCTGTGAATGGAGGTCTTACGGGTTTGGAATGACATGGGGGCGAGTAATTAATGGCAGAACTTTCCCTTTAAGACCCACACCGGGGCTAATTCAGATAGGGTTGACATTAGCCCCACCATGAAATGTTGGTTGGACTAAGAAAGTGAAAGTAAAATAGTGTGTGTGAGAGAGGGAGATGAGGAGAGAAAACACAATTTACAAAGACAGTGGACTCATATTACTATGAATGGGAGAAGTGCAATACAAATATGCAATGCATTCTCATCCCAAGAGTTTGTGTCATTGTCTCAACATTCTACGAAATTCCCATGAATTAATTTGACCATGCCACACAAAAAAAAAAAGTTTCCTTTAAGACTTTCCACATTCTTCCAATACTGTACATTCTGCTTCTGAAACAAAACCTTTTTTATGACTATTTGTTCCCGTGGTAACAGGTCTCGTAGGTCTACATTCTTCTAAAGCATGATTTTCCACCTCTGCAAAGGAACTTTTAATAATGCGCAGGTCGCTCTTTGACATGCAATTACTATGAATGGGGTCCAAAGCTTACAGTTTCAAAAAGGATGTGAAAAAGTAGCCCATTATTTCTTCACTAGTCTACAGGAGCTAAGTGATTGCTTTTCGTGAGTGACATGGAAAAAGTTGAAATGTTTATTAACTGACATGCGCACTAGTTCCCTAGTTGCACATGAGAGTTCAATGATTTCCAACTCCTCTCAACAAGTTATTCTTTTGAGTCACTATTTTCAAGGATTCTGAACAAACTCTTTCTTTGTGAGGATTCATTTAATCCGGTGTGGCCAAATGAATACATACTTGTTAAATATAATCTAAAACCTGAATATGAACTCCAACTGTTAATAAGATAAGTATAAATTCCACACACAGAACATAACTCTGCCCAGCATGAGGTCTGAAACATTAAGGCTGATTGTGTAAGGAAAAAATGTTCTGGAAATGGTTTTACAGGAGCAGTACAACGCTGTTGCATTACAATACAGCTTGTTTTACACGTTTCCCAGAGGTTTTCTTTGTGTGAAGTTTCGTCCCAATATTTCCTTGATTGAAATTTAAGCTAATTTTCAGTTGAGGCCTATTAATTAAACTGTAAAGGTCTCGATTGTAGAACAAAGATGGGATTTACTTCAAGTGTTTATTAGATGTTCAATTCATCAAACCTTTTATTCAAGAAGTGAGTGTTCACAACAATAAATGAAGTGTATTGTTACACAATCTTTATCTCAAACATATCTGAAATGTAATCCAGGGGGCGTGAATTTCAGGTTTGCTGATTGTTGAACCCAGACCACTAAAGGATCCGGTTCCATTTCAAAGGCGATAAAAAAGGACAAAATGTTCTGTTATGCTTTAGGGTGTCATACATTTGGGTGTATACTATAGGTAGTTTACACTTGGCCTTTTGTCGCAAGTCCTTTGTGGATCGTGTTTATTGTTCAAAAGAATTCCTTCATCTACTTAATCGAATCACTCTTTCTTTGTGAGCAGAGAGTGCCATTCAGTAATGTGATATTGGCACTTACAATTCCATCAACCTTCAAATGAAAAATAATCTTATCACGGCAGTTATACAAGTTTCAATACTGTTATATAATAATGACAATCATTTTGATAATTATAATGACAATACCATGGTTATTATAATTAATTAAAACCATAAAAACATTGTCATTACTTAACTAGCCTATATAATTTAATTTCAGATAGTTGCCATGGCAACAATTTAAATAAATCAAAACTAATAAATAAAAATGAATAAGAACTGTTTAGACATAGTTGAAAAAAAAGTAACACAAATGAAATGCACAACTAATTACCTAGGACTACAATTAAAGTGAAAACAGACACACACACACAGTTTCAGTCAGCTGGTATTTCTGACTTTATGATAAAAACATGTCTAGAATGGTAAACAGCCATTTTTAATCTCATCATGTCAGTGCTTCACCTTGTCTTTGCCATGTCTTGTTTTTTTTTTTAGATGCTTTGGTATTATTTTGAAACCCAATTATTTTGTGCATGCAAACATTTTGACAAAAATTATACTAAATTTTGCCTAAAGGTGTAAGTCAAACAATAACATTCCAGTTCTATTGACTAATGGCTGACGAACGTCATGACTGAAACCCTCACCTGTCAAACTTCATACTTAGAACAAGCCCTGAGCAGGGTTATTTACTCAAACTAAAACATAACATCTTTGTTACATGAAAGAAAATTAACATTAAGTGAAATAAATATTTTACACACAACAAATATGATTTAATTATATAAAAAAAAAAAAAAAAAAAAAAAAAATGACAAATACACACAATAAAATGTCTAAAACTTTCGATTTAAAGCAGATAATACAGAAATAAAAACTAATTAAAAAATATTTAAACTATGGTTTCACTTTAGACATTCTGTGGACTATAAGTAACGTCACTCCTGCATGTCATCTCTCATTAGAATATTAGTTAGTCAACCGAATGTCTAAAGGGGACCATCAAAAGAAAGTGTAACCTATAATATTATCTCTCAATAATACTAAATTGGATTGAAAAATGATTTTATTAAGTACATACATTTAAGTCATTAGCAATAATTAAATCTGGACTCTTTAAATTTGCTAAAGATATTGAGGTGGGTTGTGCTACCAGATAAAAAAATAAAAAGGATACATCTTGTTTAAAACACACTTACAGTATCTTTCCTTGTCATAAAAAAGTAAAATTATTTGATATTTTAAGAAACTCAATTAACCATGACACATTTTCTGTGTTTCTGCACATCGCAAGACAAACGTTTTTCAAATAAGTAGTGAATGCGTTTTTTGTTGTTCGTAGAAATAATACAATAATACCTTATTTTCATGAGTTTTATTCTTAATCAATGAGCCTTTTCTTTTCATTGTGATATCGGGACAGTTGCATTGCTTTTACGAATTGCATTTGTATGAATGTTTTAATAAATATTTAGATCCAGACAAAAAAAGCATCATGCCTCATATACTTTTATCAAAATGTCCCAGCAAAACTCCAGGCCCTGTGAATTTAAGCAAGGCCGTAGATGAGGGGCCTCATTTATAAAACGTTGCGTAGAAACCATCCTACATTTGATCTTATGATCATTTCTCAAATGTGTGTATGTGTGATACGTCTTATAAATGAGGCCCCACATGTGTCAACACTGTCCGACAGAGTTTAGCTCCAAAACCCCAGCCTGGGAGTTTCTAGTGATCCGTAAGACCTTGATTAGCTGGTCCAGGTGTGTTTAACAAGTGTTGGAGTTAAACTCTGCAGGACAGCGACACTCCAGGGGCTGGTTGCATAAACACAGCCATTATGTTAAGACAGTTTATTAAGCTCTAGTATGACCCACTAGCAGTTAGTCTGGGGCAGTCCGTCTTACTTTCCAGTATCAAATTAGGCCAATTTACAATTTTATGTAACTGATTTAAAAAAGCTTAAAGAAAAAAAATTGACGTCTAACTTGTAAGACTAGTCTTAGAGGTTTATGCAACCGGCCCCAGGAACTGAACTTGACACCCCTGCTTAGATGACACAGCTAACCTATTGAAGCTCTGCCACGATGTGTGTTAATGCCCACCAGTGGATCCTACGTGTCATTGCAGCTGGAGATCATACGGACTACATACATCATATCTCACGCTGCCTTCATGATAAAAATGAATTCATTTAGATAAATCCTCGTACTCTATATTTTTACCCTGTAGTCACAGAACAATGCAAAAGGGTAACAGTAAAAGCTATAAATAATGAATTCATATAGTTCAAATAATGTCATTACAACTTTGAACCTTCAAAAAAAAAAGCTTAAAAATAATCTATTTTAATATATTTGTATGTTAAACCTGCATAGATCAAACCATGTCTTTTACCATGTGAATCTGCTCTTAAAGGGATAGTTCACTTTGAAATTTATTTTTGATATGTTTTAGCTTACCTCAAGGGCATCCAAGATGTAGGTGTCTTTGTTTCCGCAGTAGTTTCAATTTTGATATTTTTAGGTCAAACCGTTCTTGTCTGTCAGTCATATAATGCAGGTCTATGGTCACCACCTCAAAGAGCATGCACAGAGAAGTCCAAATTAAACATGATTTAATGACTCGTAAATGTAAGTACACATTGATATGGAGGGATTGTTGGGTCAGATTGAAAACTAAAAGTCTAAAACTAAAAGTCTTAAACGAAAACCAAAAGTCTAAGTTTGAAACTAAAAGTCTAAGTTGGTATTTAGGAAGTGCCCTATCCTAAATACCAAATGCCCTATCCTAAATACCAAATGCCCAATCCTAAATACCAAATGCCCTATCCTAAATACCAAATGCCCAATCCTAAATACCAAATGCCCTATCCTAAATACCAAATTCATTTTCGACTTAGACTTTTAGTTTTCGACTTAGACTTTTAGTTTCAAACTTAGACTTTTGGTTTTCGTTTAAGACTTTTAGTTTTAGACTTTTAGTTTTCAATCTGACCCAACAATCCCTCCATACATTGATGGCCTAAGACACGAAACGAGCGGTTTGTGTGAGAAAACGAACAGTATTTATATCGTTTTTACCTCTTGTAACCACAGCCACGTCCAAGTGATCTGAGGGCGCCGGCGCTTCGGTCTGTGCGTTACAAGAGGTAAAAACGATATAAATACTGTTCATTTTCTCACACAAACCGCTCGTTTCGTGTCTTAGGCCATCAATGTGTACTTACATTTACGAGTCATTAAATCATGTTTAATTTGGACTTCTCTGTGCATGCTCTTTAGACCTGCATTATATGACTGACAGACAAGAACGGTTTGACCTAAAAATATCAAAATTGAAACTACTGCGGAAACAAAGACACCTACATCTTGGATGCCGTTAAGGTAAGCTAAAACATACCAAAAATTAATTTCAAAGTGAACTATCCCTTTAAGTAATATTTGGATATTTGATATCACTTTAAGTGCTTTGAGACAGTCCATGTAAAATAAGGCTGATGAGTTATTGCGAGTCGAGGCCTATACAAAGACACCTGGATAAAGCAGGACTATGGCTGACAGTAACCACGATGAAGCACTCATCTGTACGGCTCCGTTGATGCCACAGTAACAGTCTCCTTTTTGCCGTGGGTTGTCTGGAGGTTTGGTTGGAGTTGGCTCTGGACACTTCATCCAATCAACTGCGGTCGATCCGAGACTGACACTGTCTTGGTCCAACTCTCCGCTCTTCAGCACCCAGTACGAGTTGTTCTTGAAGAAATAGGTATCTCCTGAGAGGCAAAGCAAGAAGAGGGATCACAGGCATGATGGGAAAAAGTTGCCTTCTATGAAACATTCAGGGAGAGGACAATCCCATAATACATTGTAAAAGTAAATAAAAATGTGTCCAAGATTATGGACAATATTTTTTTTTAATCCAATTGTGGCTTTTTTCAATCAAATAATGAGTGAAGACGATAATGATAAAATTGATGGTTGATAATAATTCTGGTTCATTTGTTACACTGGACATGGAAGATCAATTGCATTGTGGGATATAATACAGTAGTTTTGTAGTTCTGGTAGTAGGTAGGGAAAGATGGGGGAAGATGAACAAGGTGCATTTACTTTTAAATTATTACATTTAGATATAGCACATGCATCATGTTATTACGGGAAATAAAAGGAAACATTTGCTAATTTATTTCTCATTACTCAAATGTAAAATTACTACCGGGGTAATATGGCCACCTAACGAGGGTAATCTTTTACGGAATGCTTAAATTACTTTTGATATCATTTTTATTAATATTTATATACTGGTATATTTTAAATGGTCATTAATGTTAAACACCAAATCATCATCTAATCTATTTAAAAATGTGTTTTTTGCCAGTTTAGTTTCTCAGTAAAAGTTATTAATCTAAAAGGTAATTTTATTCTATGATTTATATGCAGGCATATGAATACATATTTAATTGCCCATATATTATTAATTGAAGATATTTCATAATAGCAACATTATAAATTCAATTTGAATGATTTCACTCAATTAGCCTATATATGTAAATGATTAGTGATGTTTGAAATGTAACTCAATAAATTATTGAATAATAACCCCGTGAATTAATATAAAATGTAAAAAATTCTGTGCCAATTCTGAGAGGGCAGCTTACTCCAAGGGTCTCATTTTATAGTTTCACTTTAAAATAAAACGATATCTTTTACTCCACCATTTTAAAGTGAAGGGTTGGTCAAAATCCCTTGCCTCTTCAAATACATCTATAATCATATATCCTTTTGAATGGTTATATACTTCCTTTATAAAAAATCATTAATCAAATATATTCATTATCACATAATAATTTTTATATTCTTTGTGCTTGTGAAATTATATTTTCTTAAATGCATGTGATGTAAGTAACCAGTTTCTTTTAGGTGCATTCCAATCTTACTTTGAGATTGCACGTAGTACACGCAGGACACGAAGGCCACGTAACCCACAAGGCCGTTTGTCTCTTTCTCTGGTATCAGTAGAGTGTCCTAAAGGCAGCGTGGGCACATATGATTCTTCGCTGGACATATGGTCAAGCTATATTGAGCGTTACTATCAAACTTTAATTGTTGTATTAAAATGTATTCTTTCCAGTGTATTTCCTTCCTTCGGAGTAAATGCCAGTGATCTGTTTTTCTCCCAAACGAGTGAATGTTTTAGCATTATGTTTTGGTATACTTAACTGATAATAAGGAGCTCAGACTCTCTTCAGCCTTGATGGGAGCTGTTATTTGCTAGTGTCTGTTATTTGTGTGTGTGCGTATGACATAGGTTCTGGACGTTCGGACCAGACACCCCGGCGCCCTTCTCTAACCTGCGAGGCCACCACAGACCTAAATCTAATGAGTGGACCACAACTATCGTGACTAATGGCGATAGGCACCCCTATCTCCTCACATGTGTTAAATTGTTTAGGCTCTTAATGTTTCTTAGCCAATGAGAATCATTCAACCTGTAAGCAATGACGTAGCTTAGACCTTGGAAATGGTATAACTGCTGTGATCTTTGTAACTGTAAGCGAGGCGGCCTACGAACTCCTGGGTGAGTCTTGAAGCTGACTTCTGCTGATGAAAATGCAAACTATCTTCAGTAAAACTTTTCTTTAATTTTTTATAATTCTGACTCCGGGTCTTCATTCTTCATATCTGGTTCTGGGTCTTTGACTGTATACCCCTTACAGTTATGGTGGAGGATGCGCAGGCAATTATTCTCGGTGACACCCCTGGCAAATCAACAAACAAGGTAGTAAGCTTTTATTAATTGTTAGGGCTGTCTGACTGGAAGAGATTTTGAAGGAGAGCGGGAGAGCTTCACTCCGATGAGGCGAGTGAAGGAGTAAGTTAATTATACTGCTGACAGTATAAGAAGTCGCTGAGAGCGTCGTTAAGGGTAACGGCAGCAGACAGCGCAAGCGAAGCGTGCTCTGTGGGGGCCCCGCTGGGCATTACTGGTGTAGCACCACCCCAGCAGAGCACGTCCCTGGGCTAGAGGTCCAGTGGCACCGTAAACCTGCTCAATCTCTTCCATTTCAGATAGGGGATCCCCGAACTTAGTGAAGTGAATCAGGCAGTTAGGGATACTAACAATAATAGGGTTGTTTGCCAGGGATGCATCAGGAACAATTCCGAGAGAAAAATTTAAAAAGTTGTGACCCAAATTGGCGTGGACCAGTATATGGAACTGTGATTTTAGAGTATACTTTGCAGTTTCATCACGCAGAAGCCAAGCTGTGTTGTTCAAAGATCGCCGCCTCCATTTCTGCAATAATTTTAGGTGAGTATGAACCATGATTAAGATATGGCAGAAAAATGTAATAACTTAATCAGTAACCTGAAGAGTCTTGAAACAAATAGTGAGACAGGAAAGCAAACGCTGTAAGCAGCTGTGCTCTAAAGCCCTCACTTCAAAGAAATTTGCAGAAATTAGCAGAAATTATTAAGTAAATGGTAGTCAGGATTTTGATTCTGATTGGAAATTTAAACAACTTGACTGGCTACAAACAAACAAAGAAACTGAAAAATTAAAATGTTTAGCCTCGTATTGCTTACGATGATTACAAGAAGCAAGTGAAAGAAATTCTGGGTCTGGGATAATTTCCCTGGACAAGCGACTAAAGTTAAACAGGCACTTTGTGAAAACAACTTAGAATATTTTGAGCATTTCGATGCAGCTTATGAAAATTGATGTTCTGCCAATAATAATGATGAAGATTATGATTGGGCTATTGTGAGTGAATCCACCATTGGTGGACTGTAAAAAGAATACAGAGAACTGCTTATCAGTGGCGCTGTTTGCATTCCTGAATGGGACACACACTGCTTCAAGGGTGTGATGCTGTAGTTGAGGCTGAAACAAATTCATCAGATGACAGAGAGTGTTTTAATGGTGGTCCTCAGGACCATTTAATACGTAACTGTAAATGCCCACCGAGAAGGTGTTTAAAAATGTGATAAAATGACAACACATTTCTGGTAATAATATTGGTTTGAAAGTAGATCAGTGTTTAAATGACGACAGTGACATTTTTCGTCTGAGAAATAAGAGATAAAAACAAGGTCAAAAGATTGAAGTTGATGTAAAATTAATGACTCCAACAAATGTGAGTTGCAAAATATATCAAAGTAACTAAAAGGATGATTGTGTTGTAATTAAACATTTTAAAAAGATTTTAGATGATATAGAGAGACTAATCTCACAGATGATTTACCATAACTGCAAAAGTATCACAAGCAGAGAGTGCTTGACTCGTCAAAATTAGTGTGAATCCTAATTGGAGATTGATAAACTCCAAGAGAAAACTTAAGTCAAATATTAAACTATGGTTGAGAACTTGACAATTAAAATTGAGATTGAGAAATGTGAAACGTTATTGAGAACTAGAATAATTATTTTTATGTAAGAACAAATAAGCAGAAGCAGTACTGGATTAACAGTTGCTAAATGCTGATTAAACAAACAGCTTTAAAAGTTGACCATGAAAGAACTAGAAGCTTATATTTTGCTTTCAAAAGATAAGTTTGTTATTGGCTGTAATGAAACAGTTTGCTTATCTGAATCTGATGTGTGCTGTGGCTGAAACTGCCAGTGCAACAGACTCAATCTGAGTGGAAATTTGTAATGCCTAAATTTCCTGATGTGTGGGCAAAAGACAAATATAAATAATATGTTTATTTGAAACCGTATGTAATATCTGGCAAAGATGCCTTAAGCTGGGATAGAGTTAAAAGATGGTAGATAAAGTTAGACGTTCATGAGAGTGCAGTGTACCAGTCCCTCTCTCATTCAATGTCTCTCTCTCAGTCAATGTCAGCTAAAAGCTGTTACCTGAGTCGGTGTCATAAGTGATAAGCTGTTTGTAGTGACATCTTTGATTAGGTTATTTTAGGACCAGTAACTTCTTTGTCTGATCTTAGTCCCCACCATGAAACGGGGGCGGGGCCGACGGAAATATACACTGAATGTACGGTTGTGATCTAAATCCACTGAGTAGCTAGGTTGCTGCTTTTAAGATGGTTAATGGGTTTAAGTGATTAAATACTGTTGTTATTAATCTGTCTCCCTGTGTTACAACTATTAGGCAGTCCGAATGGCCCTGGTGACTCTTGATTGTGTCTTTCCTAAGCTCCAGAGAACAACAGATTTTGTTGAAGAAAACGGTCAAAGATTCTGTGATGGGAAAAAGCGGTTACCAGTGGGCACGAGTGACCATCTCTATGACGGGTAAGACCTTCTTTGGCCAGACAGGGGGCAACCTAAGGCAGAGGGGTCACGTAAAGTCATTGGGCATCTCCTGAATGGAGGTGTGCTATGTGAGACAGGTATGAGAGTTGAGCAGGAGCTGTGAGGCCAGCAGCGTCCTTATACCGTTAAGGGGAGATGAAACGGTGACGAGTTACTGCAGTCTGCCCCAGAAACAAAGCTCCTCCATATACCACTCACCAGAAACCGCCTTAGTTGTATGGCTTGTTTTTCATTGTGACAAGCGTCTGAAAATATGCCAGGGGGGACAACACCCTGATGGAGGTTATAGATAAAGAGCTAACTGGAATGGGCCTTCGGGGTTCAGTCGGGGCCATGAAGTGATTCCCATTAGTTGTTGTGGAGACAGTAATAAAACTTTTTGATGTCGGTTGCCTTATGGGCAAGGAAAATCATAGTGTTGATTTTGACCTAATATGTCTATAACATAGTTTTAACTCTTGAAGGTCGTTAGACATGGTGGTGGCTAAAGATGAA